ACACGATGCAACAACAAACATCGCGCAACAACAAACGACCCGACGCAACATCGTGCGGCAAGCAGCTCAATAAGTCAACACATTGCAACAACACCGTGCAACAACAAGCATCGAGCAACAACTAAACTTGTGAACAAGAAATGTACAGGGGACAAATGAACCCAGATTCACCCGGCCAGCCGACCAATCAACCAACAACCGACTGGTCAATCAGCAGTGCCACTGATCAATCAATCGACCAACTCGCTAATCAACCCACAACCGAACAACCAATCAATCAAGTCACGTGATCATGTTCCGGAATAACGTGGCATTAATAGCATTCATAAAAACTAATTGAAGACATAATTTTGAATGAAATTATTTTTTTTTACTTACTGAACAAAAATTTTATTTTATTTTTTTTAAACATTTGTTAGCGGGACACACTTGAACTCTGCAATGAAACAAAAACATTCAAATAAACAAACAAACGAACGAACGAGCAAACAAGCGAACGAACAAACAAACCAAAAACACAAATCTTGCGTTAAGAGATATTCACAGATAAAAACACACACACACACACACGCGCGCGCGCGAACAAACAAACACATAATCATTTCTCATCTAGCACACTGGCTTTACAAAAATCTTTTACAACACAGTTTTAAAACAGATGAAATGTTCCAACGTGCTAAAATCTGAAATTTTGTTTAATTTGAAGAGGCACAAATAAAATAAAATAATAATCCTATATTTATTTTAAAACATTTTACGTATTGAAAAAATATTTCAAACATTTGAACGTGTTTTGAGCTTAAACGGTGAAAACAATGTAGCTACGTCCTGAGTAAAAATAAAGGTATCCAAATGTGAAAAACAAACGAATCGATGAATGAATGAATGAATGAAAGTATGAATGAATAAATGAACTATTAAACATTAAAAACAAAGTACATATTACAAAAAATCGAACTGTATTTGAAAGGTCAAACCATGAAAATGGAGGAATGAACGAATGAATAAATGATGAAGCATAATTATTATTGTTCTGACTGAATGAACAAATGACAAGAACGAACATGTGACAAACAAATTATAACTAGCAAACAATTATTATAACTTGCAAACAATTATTATAACTTGTAAACGAATATTATAACACGTTAGGTAGGCATACAAAATGTTATCAATAGACAAACATCATATTATGCTATGCGTACAATGAAAGATGCAAATATAAGTACATACATACATCACACACATAGCCACACACACACACATACGCACGCACGCACGTACACGCAAGCACACACACATTTATGTACGTATGTATAGATTATGTAAAGGAAGTTTAGTATGATCCAATCTACCACAGAGCAATATTAACTTGGTCAATTGATAAGTGTATTTTATGAAGTAATTAATTCTTTTGTCAACACACACAAAACAGTAACGCAAACGATAATTTAAATAACCACCAACATCAACATCATTAATATTACTACTAACCGCATAACCAATGCATGGCATGTATGGAAAAGTATTTAACCATTCCGATGTCGCGTTACGTTAAAGTGCTTTCTACCTACCAACATATAATACATACATACGTACATACACATTCACTGATAAACCAGCCACTGTTATTTAATACGACTTTCAGAAATTAGAAAAACCTAAAAATGACATATAGCACACACACACACGTACACGCACACACAATAAAGTGTAACAAACGTGAAAACAAACACAAAAAACATATATACATATACATATATATACATATTATATATATATCAAATATATATCAACATTGTATATAAATACATACATATACTTAAAAATACATATATATATATATATATATATATATATATATAATAAGAATGTTCCATCAAATGTATATATATATATATATATATATATATATATATATATATATATATATATATATATATATATATATATATATATATATATATATATATATATATATATATATATATATATATATATATATATGCAAGTATCTCTACATGCTGATTGCTGTAAGGTTTAATACAAAATACCTGAGTGTTTATAACGGCTTTTCACTGAAACATCACATTAATTAATTACCTACTAATTACCTATTAACCTTGTCATAATCCAATAAAATGACTAAATTAGCCATTTCGAGGTCTTTAGCTTAGCAAATTTTTGCTACAGGTGATTCTTTATTCTTTCGCGATAAAGTTGGATGAAAAATAATTATAATTGACTTAAATAAGTGTAGAAAAATGTTTGGAAAGGTAGAGTTAAAAAATTACGAATAAAAAAACGAATCTACGAATGAATGAATGAATGAATTGTAAGTTATACTACATTCGTCATTGGTAAGACATGTTCGAGCATTATCTTCAATCAATTAATTAAATACCTAATTAGTTGATTATATAACTAATTAATTCATTCATTCATTCATTCAATAAACATTTCCTAAATATAGCTAGTCAATGATCTAGTTAGGGGTCAGATCAATAATGTATATATATATATATAATCATCTATTCTTTCTTGCTTCAATCCAACCATCTTTTCAGTTTTCATTCATTCATTCATCCGTCCATTTATCCATTTATTCATTCATTCATTTATTCATTCATTCATTCATTCATTCAATATATATAATTCAATAATAATTTCAGTCAGTATGATGTTATTGGTGATTGAAAATTATTTTTAAACGATTGAGATTAAAAAACTAAAAAACTGATAAAAATTTTTAAATTGAAATAATAAACTTTTGAGCTGTAATATGTAGGTGAGTTTAGATAGATGTCAGAGCGTCAGCTTGCAAAGTAGTTCCAATTCCTGAGAACAAATTTTTTGGGAAAATTCACGAAAGTTCATCCATGAATGTAAAAAAGAACTTCACTTAGCACCTAATTTTTTTAAACACCACTCTGACATTTCTATAACATAATCGTGACATCTCCGGGACATCACTATGACATCATCATTACATCACTACGAAATCATAATGGCATCGATATGCGATGCGACTAACCTCAACTAGTTTGGTCTGATCAAGAGAATTCCTATACTCAAAAATCTTCTCAGCCACTTCATTATACAAACTCACCAACTCTTCAACATTTTTTTGGTGAGTTAGCATGACGATGTCCGTCAATATGGTATGTAGTCTGAACTCCTCAACATGTATGACGTTTTGCAGCTGGCTGTCGCTGGCGTCTTCACTGTTGCCGACTTTATCTGTGAATAAATCAGACATGAGACATGCACAATGCTTTTTATAGAAGTGAAACTTAATTCAAGATTATTATTATCACCTTCAGCAATCATTTTCATCATCATTTATCATCATTCTTTTAAAGAGAATTATTTGCCAAAAACATCAACCTCATCATCATATCACCATCATCATCATCCTCCCATCTACCTCCATCTTCCAATTCACCATCCATCTTCTCATCGTCATCATTCCTCTTTCCATCTTGATTCTTAGTGGTCTTGTTGTTGTTGTTGTTTTTGTTGCTGACAGTTTTACATTCAAGTTGAACGTCCTCGTCTTCAATGTCGTTATCATCGACTTGGCAGACCGCATCGACCAATGAAACCTCATTTTCACGATCATCATTTCTTTCCTTCGCATCATCATTACCATTGTGATCACCATTAAACAGGACCTCCTCCTGCTTCATAGTTTGGTCTTCCTTGTCATCACCTTCTTCTTCATCACCATCATCTCTTGCCCTTTTTTTATCACCATGTTCGCCATTCAAACAAGATTTTGAGGGGCTTTTCGTAAATTTTCCACCATCGGTCTTACTTCTCTTTTTCTGACATTGTGTTTATTTGAAAAATTGTGTACTTAAAGTATTAAAAATTCAACAAAATAGCAACAAACAACTTTTAAATTTTGTGGTATCAAACAAGGAAACGATGCCAATGTTTAACCGATGACAAATAGAGAACAAATCGTCAAAAATAAATGAACGAACGAAAATACAAAAAATAGAAACAAGAGATTCAGAGAGGGAGATGATGAAGAAGTGAGAGTGAAGCATGAGAATGTTGAAAAAAAATTTTTTGAAAAGAAATCACCAACCAGCTGTATGCACTGCTCGGTCTTCTGTTCATCACCGGTGTTATCACATTCATCACTGTCTAACTCGACATCATCATTATTATCATTTGTATTATTCTCGTTATCGTCGTCGTCACTGGAGACATCCTCAACATTCCCATCATCATCTTCATCTTTATTACAATTTAAATTGTTTGTGGTTGCTGGCTTGACATCCTTGCCACTTTTTGAATTAATCCTACTTTCGTTTTTCTTAGCTCTAACTGATGACGAGACATCCTGGAAGTATCATTCAAATTCGCAAACAGAATAAATAAGCTTGATTTAGAAATAAAAACGTAAAAGATGAACATATCAGATGCAAAAATATGAACATTAAATCGAAGAAAATCTGAATATTAATGAGCAGCTGACCTCCTGGTGTCCATGGTGGCGATTCGTCGGAAGGAGGGCATCCTTCTTGTGACTCCTCCTTCTTTTTGAACTCTTACACCATGGCGAAATTTTTGATCGACGATGGCGGGAGTTGTTGCTGACGTTTTTGTTGTGAGCATTGTCGTCGTCGTCGTTAGCATTTAATTTTTTATGATTAGCAGTTCTGACTTGTTTCTTGCGACTCTCAGTGTCATCGACCTGCATGCTGTTGTCACTGCTACAGCCGACTAGGTTAGTTGCTGACGACGCATTGTCACCACTTGCTTCATTGCTGTGGTCGTCGTGAGACACGGCTGCATCACATTCAAGATTCTTATTCTTCTTAAACTTTGAAGAATTATTTCTTACATTTGCGGCACTTTCAACACTCTTCAATCTATCGCCGGGAGGTTTGGTGAAATAAAATTTTGGCGCTTTTGAACTTTCATCCAAATTGTCCCCTGCAACAAAAAACATGAACATGTGCGTGTAGTTTAGTTACAGATTAGTGCTAAGTAAATTGATTGCAACAACAGATCAGAACTGCAGACGAACCTCTGTTGATTTTCGAAATGTAGATGTCCTTGCAAAGTTTGTCGAAGTCCTCGTCCAGCCTGCTGTCAATGATCCAGTATGCCGTGTCCTTCAGCGCGCATGCGCGGTGCCGAATGCTGCGATCTGTCAATCAGTGCGTCGTGGAATATTATGGCGAGATGGGAGTATGTTGTCCCCAACATCTCCCTATTCATTGTGTTCATCGGATGTATGAGCGAAAAATAAACTCAAACAAATGAATAAACAAACGAATTAAAAAATGAATGAATGGATGAATGAATGAATGAATGAATGAATGAATGAATGAATGAATGAATGAATGAATAAACGCGAACACAAACTCACCAGCTTCATCAGTTTCAGGATTGTACTCCAATGCATTGCTGACGATGAGGTCAATGTCCTGAAGGAAGTGCCCTACAGTGTGATACCTGAGTGAGTGAGTGAACGAATGATGGAATGACCAAGTGAATGAACGAACAAATAAAAAAATGAGTAAAGTAAATGAAGAAACTATAAATTAAGTAGGAGAATACAATCGGGTAACTCAAATAACTAGGTACAACATCGTAGGATGGTGGTGTGGAATGAAATGAAACACGAGATGGCCAAACTGGACGACCAATAAAACAGGATGACCAACTTGTGCAGGTCAATCTTGGACATCATGGTTGAGAGATCCATGGGGCGATGAATGATGTTGTAATAATCTGGCACCTGAACGGTATGATGGTGGTGACGAAATTAAATTAAATTTAAAAAAAAACTAATCAACAAAGTTAAGGAAGCATTGAAAGGAACTTGAAATGTTAAAACGGAGAAACAATTCTAAAAAATATGAACCTCATCTTCATCAACAGGCTTCGAAAAGATGGCAAACTTGCGATCCCTGCTCAACTTGTTGATAACATCTCTCAAGAATAACCTCAGTTCTCTCAACGTCTTCTCCTCCATCACCTTCAACTTCTCCAGTTCCAAGCTGCTCAACTTGCGCAGTTCAACGGGTGGAGCAGTAAGTAGAGGCACTGATGTTTTGGCTGTAATGTGTTTTGTGACGTTGTACGGTTGTACGTGGTTGTGAGTTGTTGTGTGCGGTTGTGAGAAAGTTGTCGTTGGGATTGTTTTGCGCATATATACGGTTGTTGTTGTCGTTGTAAATAGCTATAGAAAATGAGAAAAAAGTTTCTTTAGATGAATTGTAACACTTAACCAACAGCTTCAAACAACTGAACGAAATCAACCTCTTCTCCTGTCTGATGGTTTTATTATCCTTGGTTGATCGAAAATGCTGAAGATGAGATCCTGGAAGAAAGCTTCCCTGTCCTCCTCTGTTGGCGTACTGATCTCCCTCTTGTGATTAAACAAGTTGAGGATCTGCAGGTAAGTGTGTGTGTGTCTGCATGTGTGTGTGTGTGTCTGCATGTGTGTGTGTGTGTCTGCATGTGTGTGTGTGTGTCTGCATGTGTGTTTGTCTCTGTGTGTGTGTGTCTGATGCTAAGGACAGTCTGTGAAACATTGTGCATGGAGAGAAGACGAATTAGTGTGCTGATGAGATGATTACAGTGCAGTCTGCTCTTAAAATCTCCGTGTCCGTTCATTCATTCGCTTATGTAATTCATAATTTTGAGATTTACTTTAGAATAGTTTGAGTACAATCAAACTGGCGTAGAGGATTGAAATTTATGAATAAATAATGAAACAAATATTGAGAAAATTGTAAAACAAAAAAATACGCGTGTAGAAGGAAATATTAAACTTCCAACTGAGTGAGATGGTTGCAAAAATAATCTACCACGTCAGGCACGGGATCATGATCATCGTAATCAATGACGTCACATGACCCCAGAACAAAAACAGGAACTGTGTGGTAAAGTTCATCGACCATAGAAACAAGAATGGAGAGAACTGAACGGCTGACCTCTTTCCACCAATGGTTGATGTTCGGAAGGTAGAGGATGGATGGAGTGTGCAACTTACACTCCTTTATTATCTGCAGAGAAACAACAATGGTTTCACAACTCAGTTCGGCATACTAATTTATTTGAAACAGCTTGAACTGATTAAGTTTTAAAAAAATTACTGGCAGTATATTTGTTTTGCCGTGATGAATTCCATTTCAATATGACATTAAACCATATGGTAACTGTTTTCGATCACTAACTTTGTCATTAAATATTGCTATTTATAACTCTGCAGACTTATTAATAATCATTTTTTTCATTACCACCATGCCATTTACAAACAATAATCCACACGCAAATACATACACACACACTCACGCACGCATACATCCACGCACATAACACTCACGCAATCACACACACGCACACACACGCAAACACGCACACACACGTACGTACATGCACCAGTGACTCCTCTGGAGTTTTGAACTCATTACCATACAAGGCGGGCAGGTTGATGACGTGGACTGGTAGGTTATCAAACAGGTGGAGGAGGGCAGGACAGATGTACTTGGTGTGTCCCTGTCCAGCCCGGCCACACACCAACAAACTGTTGGACTTCAAGCTGACCAGTGCTGAGTGCCTGTTGTTTGTTTGTTTGTTTGCTTGCTACGGTGGTTTGTATGTTTCAGTTGTGTGCTTAACTGCTCCCATGCTTTTTTCGTTTCAATGATTTTTTTTTTGTTAAAATACAGGATGTATAATAATAAAGATTTAATTGACTTTCCGAGTGTTAACAATTAACAGTTTAAAATTAGAACTAAAGCACTTTGATAAGTCCAAGGACATTAATATATGTAAGTGCAGCCATTCAAAACATTGTCTCATTGACAGAAACCAAAGTGAAGAAATGTTGTAAAGTTGTTTACTGAAGTAACTGTAACAAGATGATACCTGGAGTTGATATCTGGCAGATCACAATCAAAAACTTCTTCAAATTCATTTGTTGCTCCTGGCCCTTCATGGTCGTGATTGACTTAACATTAATAATTGTCCAGCATGTAAAAGCATTCATTTCGAAAAATTTCAAAAACATTACAGGAAACAAGTCTCCAGCACATTTAGCAGCATACTTCATTTAATCATCTTTCGTACAATTTCAAACTAACTATTCGTTTTTGTTAATTAAAAACATTTTTGAAAATGCATTAAAAATACTTTAGACAACTATCTTACAATAAATGGCACAAACAATGAACAAACCTCTAGAAAATTTTGAAAGAAGTCCTTTGATTTTCTCCTTAGGAAAAATCTTCTCAGTGACCTGTCGGGAAAGTTCTTGCAACTGTCGTCCAATGAGAGGCTTCAGAAATGGAGGCAACATTTTTGCGAATGGCGTGATGGATCGGTCACACGATGGAACAATCGTCTTCATCGCAGTGAGGAAGTCTTTGGGACTGACCTGGATCTCCTTCGTGTCGATCAACAATTTGTCGCCTGTGGAGAATATCTGTGGGTAGGTTCCGTGCAGTGCATTCAGGGCTGCCTCCGAACATAAGTACTTCAAGTCTGCTCCACTGTAACCTGTGTTATTTGTTGTTGTTAGCGTTGATGATGTTGTTGTTGTTGATGATGTGATTGTTGCTGATGTTGCTGTTGTTAGCATTGCGCTTGTTAAATGTTCCACGATGTATATCACCGCATTGTTTTAAAGTTCTCACTACCTTTGTGAAAAATAACGTCAAAATTGAAAACAATGCATTGATGGTCACCCAAAAGTGAATGGAGGGGTAGTGCCAGTGCTTGACAGTGTATCACTCTTAAATTTGTCATCTTCAATAGGATAAGCAATAGATACGTTGAAAAAAATTAATAAATGAACCAGTGAGTGCCTAAATAAAATTATTAAGGACTTTATCATTTTGATTAAAAAAAATATTGAAATAATGTAAAATTGTAAAATATTCATGAAAACGTGAAAACTCTACCAATGGTGTTGGATGCCAAATAATGCAAGACATCATCTGACAACTTTGGTGTCCAATCTGATGTATATATCTTCAAAATATCACGTCGACCCTTCAAATTAATAAACAAGAAAGATGACAACTTCAAACGATGATTATGGTGGTTGTAAATAATCAAACTGGAATGAGAACATGATTATCGAGACATCGACAAAATCTCCGCTAATTTAAAACATAGCAACAAGCATCAATCCACCTCATAAGAGGGCAGAGGAAACCACAATTCCCTATCGAATCTTCCAGGTCTCCTGAACGCAAGGTCAATAGAATCGATCCTATTGGTTGATCCGATCACGATGACTTCCCCCCTGTCATCCAGGCCATCCATCAGAGCCAATAGAGTTGTAACAATGGAGTTGTGGAACTGCTCCTGCTTGCTCGAACGAACTGGAGCCAAACCGTCAATTTCATCGAAGAATATGATGGAGGGTCGCATCTGATAAGCCTGAAGATAGAAATCGAATCAACATCTGAAGTCTATAATGTTTTCAATCATGAACATTTATAAGTAAAAAAGCATTGGTCTTTCTGTTAACGATTTCCTCAACAAACCTGATCAAACAGAATCCTCAGTTGTTTCTCTGACTCACCAACCCACTTGCTCAAACAGTCGGCACCCTTCCTCATGAAGAATGCGATCTTACTTTTGCCGCGACTGTACTCGTTAGCCAGAGCTCGAGCCACCAGTGTCTTTCCAGTGCCTGCGTTAGTGGAGGTGGGATTTCTGGAATGATCTACTGATCGTGAAGACGATGATACGGTAATGATAAGGTAATGATGTCGGTGATAACTATTGAGAATTATCATTAAGATTATCTTTCCTGATCAGTGACCTGCTGTCTCTCAATAATCCACAATGCACACAAAAACAATGTTAATAAGTAAATTAATATTTATTTGTTCACCAAATGCTGTTTGTTTCTAAATATAGGAGTGTTAAATAGCCCTTAAAAAGGGTAGTTTTAATAAAGCTTAACTTGATTAAGGATAACAATCAATATACATTAGGTGCTATCAAATAAAAAACCAGCTTTGGAAAGGTTCCAAAGAATAAAAGACAAATTATTTTAAAGTTATTTACTCAGTTAGAAGTTAGTGAGGCAAATAATTTGAATGATAAAATGTAACAGTATTTAAAGCAGCAACAATCAGATGATATCTATTTGTCTCATCCTACAACTTCAGACGAGGTGTGTTGCTTCAAATCAATGACGGTTACTCAGTGAACATGACTAAACAATAAGACAAGCTAGGAGATAATGAACGAAATTACCAGGTGGCCCATAGAAGAGGACGCCCTTGGGTGCATTGACCTTGAAACTTTTGAAAAACTCTGGGTAGATCAGAGGCAGGATGACCATTTCTTTCAGTGAGAAGAGAATTTTATCAAGGCCGCCCACGTCTTTGAAGGTCACCTGGAGTGAGGCATTCGTAAGTCAGTCGTCACATTTAAAAGCAGTCTCTCAGCCAATTTTTAAAATGTAGCCATTTTCAATGGAAAGCTTGTGCCTCAAATAAACCAGCAAATAAGAGATTTGTAAAAAATAGTTATAGTCAATTTGATGATAAAGTTAACTCTTATGTTAGCCAAATTTAGTCTGGTAATCAATTGGAGAACAACAAAAATATAGTTATTTTCATTGTCAGCTCTCAACCAAGTTAACTAGAAATTGCCAAACTAATACAACCGTAAAATAATAATGTAACAAGATTTAAATATAAATTTAAATTAGGAAAATCATCTAAGAGTTATTAATCAGTAGATTAGTAATACAACATCATGAAATTTTGAACTTAAATTCATTTTGAATTTCTATAATAGATCAGGGCAATATGAATAGGTTTCAAAATGATAAAAAAAATTTAGAAGCTGACAGATGTGTCGACATTCATTGGTTCGACATCAGCCATGCTGGATCCAACATGGGCTCGATCTTTGAAGGCACTTGTCATTATGTCTTCCACTTTTAAGTTCATTGGCAGAAACCTAATACACATGTGATGGTTGAGAGATTAAATGTTCAATTTTGAAATAATTGATCTTGATTAATTGCAGATTACAAGCTAATGATGCAGTCTGGTGATAAATGAAATAAACTAAGACTACCAGGGTAAGGGGAAGTTTTTTTAGCTTAATTTTTATAAATAAAAGTGTCAAACTTTTGTCTGATTTTATTCAACTTCTTCATTCTCTTGTTTTCAAACTTTTCTAAGCCATCGCCAGTTGTGTCAGTGTCCTCCGATGATGATGATGAGTTCGATGATGAACTCTGCATAACCATCCGACGTCTTATAGGGAATTTTGAATGATTAACATCTTCATAACTAGCGCCATCATCGTCACCACCATTATCACTATAATCATCATCGTCATCCAAATCATCATCGGCATTATCAGATTTACAAATCTTACTTTGATAATCATATCTAGTAAAATGGAACAAAACAGACCAGCCAATCTCGTAGTTGGAATTAGCAAGTAATTTTCAGAACAGTAAATTATATATAATGACTCATATCTAATCAAATTATATATCAAGTTAGATTTTGTCTTTATAAATAAATTTCTGAACCAGTAAACACGGCAATTATTTAAAATTATTGAAAATGTGACAAGTTTATAATGACAAGCATGAATAAATTGAAATTACATAAAAAAAAACTGAGTGAGGACGATTGAAAGTCAGTGGAAATAGTGAAGAACATGACGTGAAGAGTAGAAAATGGTTGCAGAGAAGGGAGGCGGCAAGGGATTTGCCCAAGGGCCTATCCCATTTTTTTAATAAATGAAAGAGATGTGACGTGACTGACCTATCTTTTTTCTTTTTCTGCTTCTTCGGAGACTTGTAGGCCTTTGATATTGAGGGCTCAAATGTTGTTTGCTCCTCTACTATAAATAACAAATTGAACTAATAATTTTTTTCAATTGTATAATCAATCTTTTAATAGAAATGAAATCGTAGTACTGAAAAACTATGAAAAATATATCAGAAAATTATTTCACAGGGTGGCGATAGCCGAAGCAGACCTAGATTAGGGTGCCTATAATAATCAGTGGTCTTTCTATGCTGCCTCAGATTGTAAGCACGTCGTCCTGAGCTGGTGTCTGAATGGATTGAGTTAAACCAACTATCATTTAAGCATTACAAAGAAATTGTAAATCTTTATAATGCTTACCTTCATCATCATCATCATCACTGCTATCTTCCGTTTCATCCTCATCATCATCATCACCTCCCTCCTCTTCATCTTCATTTTCTTCATTTTTATGATGGTCATCATTTTCTTCACTTTCTCTAGAACTATTCTTGTTGCATTTGAACCTGACTCTGCTGGACCTCCTACATCCACTTATTTGATGGTCATCGTCATCGTTTTCGTGGATCGGTATCCCATACATATCCCTCTTCACTTTCTTCCTCTCTCTCTTCACTCTTGTGTACATGTCAATCTAATTTTGATGCTTATTTTATTATTCTAAGTTCAGTTAAATTAACGTTTATTTTGCTTACAAATAAAGGTAACATATAAATATGTTCAATAGACATTATAAAATTTATACACCAGTTGCTAAAAATTTAAAAAAAAAATCAAGCAAACTGTTGATCAATATAAATCAACTGCAAAAAAAACTAACTGAAGGAGGATAAAATTTCAAAGTATGTACCTCATCTACTTTTTTAAGGCCACCATCATCTCCACAAGAATTTGCATGATTTGAATCAGTGTTATCGTCAACAGAATGTTCGGTGTTATCTCCTGCTTCAATGTCATTGTTACCTGTAAAATCAACACTAATTATTCTGCCACTACTCCTTCGACCTGAGATATTTTTACCAGATACATCAGCTTTCGAGTTTTCATAAACAACTTTATCAATTATCAAATCATCATCTGAAATGGATTTTTTTCTAGATTTACCTAATTTATTACTTCTTGAATAATCTTCATCTTCAGTGTCACTCATTAAGTTGCTTAACTTGACACTATTCACTGTGAAACTGTCGTCATTAGACTCTTGAGTTGATGACTTTTGAACTTTACCAGCACTTTTATTAATATTGTTGCTACCTGTCTTGCTGCCTGTTGATTCATCCCCAGCATTTCTGTGTCTGAAACTATATTTTGAATTTTCAACTGATGTCAATGACGAAGTTTTATTTACATTTGTGTTTTTTTTTAAATCTTTCATCTGGTTTAACTTAATTTTGAGACCGTGTTTAAATCTAGTGATGGCCGAATTGCCGGGTTCAGCTGCTGCAATTTTACTTGGATATTTTTCCAACTTTTTGTTTCTGTTCTTTGACTCTTTGTTGTTTGAACTTTTTTTATATGGAAAGGAATCACTAGTACTGTTCTCATTTGCATATTTTATATTTTCATCATCCTCATTGTCGTCATCACCACTATTTTCGTTCTCATCATAATAATCATCATCGTCTTCGTCATCAGAGTTTTCATCATCCTCATGATCATCACTATCATCAACATCTTCCCCTTCATTCTTCTTTCCACCCTCATTGCGGGGCCTAGCTGATTTATCAGGCACAAGAGAAATTGAGCGAGTTGAATAATATGGCGTCAGTTGGTGGGGAACCTTCCTTCTGTTCACATTTAAGAAAAGTTATTACATTCAACTATAACTGAACTATTACTCAAACAAACCTTTATGAATACAAAAATAAAACTATTTTCATAGCTATTTCTCAAATAGGAATCTAGCAAATTTTGAGCTGAACAATAAAATATAACTTTTATAAAAGCTTATCAAATCAAACACTATACTAAGGTCCCAGCAAAACAATCTTTCTAAACTATTACACAACTGATAATGATAATTTAATGTTAACTTACAAAAAGAACAGATTAGTGACACTAATTGGCAACAAAATCAAAAAGTCATTAAAATGTAACACTTTTTCTACCCTAAACTTTCAGACCTATATTTTCTGATTCACATAATTATAATTTAAGATTCAACATTAACTGCACTTAAGCAGAATTAAAAGACTCATAATAATGCACTACACTACACCAATCATCATAGTCAGATGGGACATTTGAAATACAAAAGTTGAACACAAAATTATTAAAAATTTAAAAACAAGTAAATGAAGACATCTTTAAATTTTAAAATGAAATCGAAAACAACCTCAAATTCTTCCTAGTTGTGCAGTCATTTTCTTGTTTAAGTCTCTTCTTCAGGCTCCCTCCCCTGTGGTAGGCCACATAATCTTCATCCGAATCATCAGTGGAATCCTGTCTGCTTCTTTTACGTTTGTCAATGTGGCCCTGGCGGTTAGGAAAAAAGTTTAAAAATGTCAGTCCACCCAAACAATTAATAATTTTTAAATTTATCAAAATACAAAAGTAGCAAAGAAAAAGAAAAGCTAATGAATAGGTGCCTGTAAATTTTAAGCAGAATTTGATTCAAGTAAATCTATTTAATTTGAACATAAAATTTAAAACATAATGAAATAGTCTCATCACACCCTACTGTATCCACATAAGTCACAACAATAACATTCATTTCACATTCATGGTTTTTTAAACTTTAACCGACATTTTGAAATGTTTTAACTTTCTCCTTTTGGTTTTCTTGACTGTCAGAATCATCATCCGTCATGTTTCGCGTTTTCACCATGACTCAATAATTAGGTAGGCAGATACAAATTAGGAACCAGAACAAATATTATTTCTGGCGCGATTCAAATAATAAAATCTCGATTACTTTTTGCTAATCCTAGCCGGCCTGATAATATCAGGGATGTTTAAATTGGACTGTATGTTTTTTTTTAATTTCCCAAATTAATGGAATGGACCAAATTTTTTTCAATGGCTAATTTTAGAGTTGTAAAAAAAAGAAATTCAATTTTAGCTTGAATTTTTCATTAATGGACGCTTCCATTTTAGAAGATTTCGCTAACTTTTAGAGTGAATTTATTCAGAAAGCGTCATTGTGATAAAAATCGTTTCACATTGGGTTTTACAAAATAGTGAAGAAAGAACATTAATTTGTTAGTGGTTAGGAGTTAAAATTCATTTCAAGAAAATAAAATGAATGAATGGAAACACCGTAGATTCGGAGCGAGGTCAATGGGCGTGTTCACGAGTTGCATAGACTTGAACGTGGAAAGGCGGAGTCTGATAGCGACTTCCGGGTCAATCATCATTGGAGCCATTTACAGCGTATTTTGAAAGCAGATGATTTATGGCGTTTTTATACTAATGATGTTATTTTTTTCTTATCGCGTTTTTGCTTGGCATTTAAGATCCGACGTATCGAAGCAGTTTGATTCGTTCGTTATTGTAAAATGTTTAACGTGGATTGACAGAACGTTTATGTTTAGTTTTGGCAGAAGAAAGGTATGAATAATAGACGGAAACAAAACCGGCCGAAGCGTATGACATGTAAGTTTAATAATTTAATCATTCATTTGCTCAGCTTTTATTGGCTTTGTTCTATTGTGTGCCTCCTCACTTTTTCAAACAGCCGTTCCTTTAAATTTGTTGATCTTGTGCTCGTGATTAACGAGTTTATTATGCTAATTACAGCCCTTCAACGTATTCACTTGTTCAGTTGCCGAGTAACTTCTATTCAAGTTTATTTGTTTGTGCTTGCCTCTTCTATATTATAGCCGATAATTCCATTTAATATTTTAAATTAAACGCTTCATAAAATTTTTAAAGACATTCAATTTTTTCACCCGGGAAATTTAAAAGCGGTTCTTTAAATGTGCGTGTACGTCTCATATTTATTTTATTTTCAAAATCTTAAATTCTATTACTTATTTATGTGAATACACAATTTATAATTTTTTAGTAGCTTTTCAAACTTTTTTCAATGTTTTTTATTCAAATCAAAAAGATAAAGTTAAAAGTTACAATTAATCTGTTTATTTATTTATTGCAATTCATTCCATAATAAAAAGTTTAAAAATCTTCCTAATGTGATTTCTTGCAATTTACTTTTTAAATAAGCTCTCAACTTACCCAAGCTTATAAATTACTTTCATTTTCTATTAGAAACAAATGGAGGTTAATTTTCAAAAAAATTTCATTGGAATTGGTGTAAAGTAAATAATTAATAAATGAAATATAAAAATGGATGCCATGTATTTTTAAAGTTAAAATGTAATGATGTAGATTGTCATCATATAATTAGTTTATTATTTGTAAATAAATTGTCATGATCTAAAATTTTCAGTGACTGAGTGCAGATATTTTTATATTTAATGAGAAAATTTTTTTCTTCAATGAGACTGCTATGTTAAGTGTACTAGGAGCATGTAAGCACCTAATAATCAATTTAATTATCATAGATGTCTGCATTCAATCTGTCATTTGTCTCTGTACATTCTTCTTCATTTGATTTTTCTCTCATTAATTTGTATAATTGTTCATTCATTTTTCTGTTTTTTACTTGTTTATGACTTTCTTACTTATGTGTTCAATATTAATATTTTCAAACTTTAATTTAAGTAAACCAAAGTTAATGAAATTTTGTATTTGTATGTTTGGCCACAGCTTATTTCTCATAAATTTCAAGATCTAGTTTCAAAACCACTGTTAAAAAATTAATTTATTTAAAAAAATCATCTAAAATAAAAACACAAAAACTTTTATTATTTAAAAATAATTCTAATTGGTTATTGGTAAATGCATCAAACCAAGTGAGTCATCCAAACATTCTATTGAGTTCTACTTTCAAGTTTTACCTCCTGGCTTGCTTGATCAGTACAGATTTTCCATCTCTGATGTTAACATTTCAGAAAGTAAATACAAAAAGTAAATGTAACGTTCGCAAAAGGCTGATTCACAATTCACGAATATTTTATTGTTTAGTAATTTTCAAATCTTAATCATGAAAATGTGGATTTTACTGTTGATTTAGACATTGCACTCAGAATGAATGATAATAAATTTTAAATTGAAAACATCCTTTGCTGATGAGTTTTCCATTGATTTCAGTGCTTGCTACTTTGCAGTGAGTATATCATCTGCTATCTGCAAATTGGTGATAATAAAAAAAAATGATGAAACCCTCAATAATAATTACGACAATGACTTGATCAGGTAAATTCATCAAGAGAATAATGATTTGTTAAAAAAAATTAAGACCGTATCTTTCTGATATTATTTGATGATATAACAATGATGATGAGGATCAACCTGATGAGGATCAACCAACGTGTTTGTTTCAAATTTGATTTGATTTGGATAATATAAGCTTGTTTTATATGATAACAAACGTGATTGTAATATTTTAAATTATATAAATTTGCGTTCTCATTACGTAGCAAGAATTAATGATCATTTTAATTAACATTAATAATAATTTATTTTTTCATTGTTAAAAACCTCAAACTTGGCTAACAAAATCAAGTGATGCTCATGTCAGGCTTTGACATATCACAAGGATTTTATTAAGAAGGTCATCTGCATGATTATTCAAAAAGTTAGAATTAAAACATTTAATTCATAAAAAATAGTGTTATCACCGTAGTTTAATCGTGTTAAAAGTTCCTTACTATCAGTGTTTATTCCATGGCAACTACGTCCGACTACTAATTATTTCGACTTTTGAATTTTTCATATTTCACCACTTGATTATTTCATATCATCCTTTCATCGTCATTTGGTCATTTTATATAATAATCATTGTCATCATCTGACTCGTACGGACTCAATCAAACGAGAGATCTAGCCGTTGGAAGACAACATCATAAATAATCATCCCACTGATCCGTGTGGTCGTGTTCCTCTAATTCCATCAATTTTTTTCATTATATGGAGTATAAATTTCTTCGGAGTTCTGCTGATTTTCTTGGGTTCTTCCGTATTCCTTCACCTGTCCGTCTTGTTGTTTGGTTTATTCCACCGTCCAATTGTATTTGTTCATTGGACGTTGATAAAAATTAATAAAAATACAGAATTATTGAAGCGTTGATGCCAGTCACAACACTTTAAGCTTTTTTAATTAACAATTAATTTTATTTATTATATTGTTATGCTCTGAATTTCGTTGGAAAACATTGAATGTTTGGGTTTCTGAATTGAGGTGCCCTGAAGCTGAGGCTGAATGTGGCATGTAGTATGGAGATGAGAAATATTGTACTGGGTGTGCTAAATATTGAATAATGATTCAACAATTTATCTTTCAAACAGTTCTGACACATGTTAAAGTTGAACTAATTAATAATTTCAAAAATATTAAAGAAACACAATTGGCACACTAGCACACTTTTCAATGTTAACAAATGCTGATATATAGATTATTTGTTAATTTCTTTAGTACCTAGTTCACGTAGCATAATTTTGTTCTCCATGATATACTAAACTAATTAAATATTTTGCTATCTCGCATTGATTTTAAAACAAATACAACAAGAGTCGACCGAAAATGTAGGCTGTGTGGAGTGCTTTGTGAAGTGGCATTGTTGGGGACAACGTAATCATCGACATCCCAATGGCTGCCACAAAAGTTATAAATTATAGTCATTTCCAATATAACCATCTTTTTAACCATGGTGCCATCCTGCACCAGCGCTTGCTCAAAAACTGTTGGATGTATAACTTGACTTTAGCTAAAGTATTGAATAAAGGCATTTTAAGCTCAAAAGATATATATTTTTAGGTTCAAAGATTCACATTCAACTTGACAAATCCATTCAGCCAATCTATGGAAAATTGGCGTAAGAAGCAGAGTATAGACACAATTACATGTGATTCGCACTATGGTTCAATTTCTTGTGGCGCTGACGTTGATTCAACTGGTAGTTTTGTAATTGATTTATGTATTACTCTATTTCCTGAGGATGAAAATATAAAATTTGGTGATGGAAATAGCTACCTTTTTGATGTAAAGTGTCTTGGATCGACCAAATAGTTATCACTGTAAATCATATAACTCGCGCTATTGTTCAGTTATTTTTTGTTCGTGATGTGTAGCGAATTAGATTGATAATTTTTTAGTAGATTCATGTAGTACTCAATCTCCTGGACAAGAAAATAAATAATTTGGTAATGGAAGTCCCAACGTTTTTGATATAAGGTGTCTTGGAACGACGTAATTATTAATATGAACACGCACTATAGTTCGATTTTTATGAATGTGGCGCTGATATATTGAATCAAGCTGGTAGTTTTTTTTACTAGATTCATGTAGATATCAATCTCTTGAGCATGAAAATGTATAATTTGGTGATGGAAGTTCTGACGTTTTTGATAGGAATATAGTGTCAAGAATCGACCGAGTTGTTATCATTCATATGTATGTATTACTGAACACACTATAGCTCGATTCTTTTAAATATGGCATCGATTTATTGAATTAAGCCGGTAGTTTTTTTTTACAAAATTCATCTAAATGGGCATGGCTCTTTGTTGCCAACAGTTTTATTTATCAAAAGACAGTAAAAGTCAATTTTAATTCAAAAGTCTAAATCAAAAATTGATGTGATAGACATTTAGAGAATTGTCACCGGTGTAATAATAATATTTATTTAATACAGCCATTTAATACAAATTTCTTGATGGTCCCCGACAAATTTCAAAGTTTAAACATTTTTTAATTTCGCCCCTGTTAAAGTAGAAGAGATCCGCCCCTGTATGCATGTCTTTGCGTTCTTTTCTATTTCTGTGTTTCTGTCCATGTCTGTGTGTTTCTACCCATGTCTGTGTTTGCATCACACTGTGATTGTGTATATGTTTAGTTCTTTGTATTTGTGGTTTCATCTGGGTTTTCCTTTGTGTGCACGTCTGCGTCTGTCTGTGTTTTATGTAGTTATTTCGTCCCGAATTTTTCACCGTCTGTTTTCGTGCATTTGTCTGGCGCGAAGTTTATGCGTGAATAAAATATAACAATGATAATATTGCTTCATATTCTGATGGAAAGATTGCGGCAATGGAATAATGAATGAATGAAAATCAAGTTCAAACTCATTTGTGGGAATAGCACGGCAGGATATTTTTCGTGTGATATTGTCAGATCTGTATCTAACGTTGTATATCATCTTTTGTATCATCTTCTGTCCCAAGTCGCTTCGTCGATTTCGTTGTATCCTAATGTTCCGTAATAGGTGCAAAATATTTTTTTCAATATGCATTTATGTTCTTCCATATATTCAAACCTCCTTGCATCTCCAGCGAGTCTTCTGTTTTCCTTTTTCTCTTTTCAATATCGATTAATAATATTTATTAAAATATTGATTAGATTTATCAAGTAGGTAGATTGTAAAATATGACGTTTCAGTTGAGTTTTAGTAAAAAGTTAAATAATATCGAAAAAGCCATCATCATCGTTTTAAATCTTTCGCTAACGATTTCAATTGATTTCATAGTCGACAGTTCCCGCAATGGCGCCCACAACAAATGAATTTCAACATTTTGCGCGTTTTCTTATTGTTTTGGACTCGACGATTTAATAATTTCAAATTTACGCAATCGATTGCGAGATAGGACGTGTGCGAAGATGTTCTTGAAATCGTACGCAGAAGTACCACTATCGCCCGTGCGTACACTGATTACGTTGTTTAAGTTGTTGCAATTTGCAATCTTGTTTAATTTCTGTTGGTATTTATATGTTTATATGTTGTTTATGGTGTGTGAGCGTGCGTATGTGCGTGTGTTTAGTTATTTTCATTTTCTTTATTTGTTTTATTTTCTCAATTTGTTTGTTTATATTGTTCCTGTTTTTGTCTGTTACCAGCTTGATTGCATTTATTATTGTTGTTGATATGGTTATTATTATTTTTCTCAATTGCACCGATAGTTATTAAAATTATTTAGAATGATTTTTAAATTCTCAACATGAGAGGTATAAAATTCTGCTTTAACACTTTTAATCATTATACGTTCGAACTCTTGATTGCATCGCTCTTGCTTTCACTTGTATACAAATGTGTAACCATATATATATATATATATATGTGTGTGTGTATATGTATATATATATATATGTATATATATATATATATATATATATACAAAACAACTCATTGTGTAATGCACGTAGAGTAGAGCATAGTATACGGTATATGGAGTACACTATACACGCAATATCATACGTACGGCGAAGATGTTATTGGCAGACGGTCGTTGTTTGAATGAGGTTCATACATTGGTTGGCGGTAACTTTTGATTTTTTATCGAGATGAGACGTTCAATGTGCCATTCAATTGCCATTGGAACAAGTGGAATGAATATTTTTGCCGGGAAAACAGTGAAATGACAATTTATATTAATGAATACTGAAACAGTTGTGTAGCAGCACAATTTGTATTAATGAATAAAAACAACGATAAAACCTAAGGCTTAGAAATGAAAATTTTTTATTGCTAACTTTGGAAATTGGAACTGTCTCTCACGTGTGCGGTCATTTTTGTATCATCTAAATCGGAAAATTTTAGCTTGAGTTAAATAAGTCAAGGTGTTTTTTGAAACTGTTCCAGACAAACTCAAGTCACCGACCAGTGCAAAATTCAAAGCATATATGTTATATCAATAATCATTTAATTAGGAGCGTGTATTTATATATATTTATTTTTATTTATTGACATGGCTTGGAGCAAGGAACGAGAACTATCCACAAAATCAATAAAAATTAGCAGTTATTTGTTAACGTTGCATTTTTGATTAATATCCTTCTACATGTTAGTTAAGAAATTTTCAGCGAATGGCGAACTAGATAAAATATTATATATCTCTCTGGCAGCTTTTCATTTAAATTTCATAAAAATGTCGAATCATTGTTTATACTCTCACAACCAGGCTATCATTTTGTAAAGATGTACTTTGAACGTTGATGGTCGCAACAAAATATATTTCGCCAACTCTTTCTCGCAAGTCTGTCGCCCGGTCCCGTTCGTTTAACCAGTCAAGCTGACGAAGAAATTTGTTGAGATTGTTGCGAACTGATTTATGCCCACACTTCATCAATGCACATGCACATCCATCAGAGGCAGTCCTGATCGGCCGACTTGACATCGAGCAAATGACGTTCTTCAGGGCGCAAACTTCGAGCTGAGTAGCGTGATAATTCAATTTCTCATCAATAGTCACAGCAGAAAAAATCATTTATCATCGTCCATTAATCTGCTCTGATTACCTGCTCTTGTGTCGTCAACATATCGGTGTTGCACTGCTCTGAGTTTTGTTTCTATTATTCTTACGAGAATCAGCAGGTGGCATTTTACAATTACTAAATAATTTGTGTATTAGAATGATAATTTGTTAAGAATGTTACTTTATTCTTACAAATCTGAAAATATTTATATGTTAGTTCATTCTATCTACATTGTGTATGCATACAAAGTAACTAGAAATTATGTGTATAGTATATAACTAAATATGTATACCTAATACATATATTGATGTGTATGTACGTATGTATAAATGTATTGACCATTTGTAAAAGAGGCTCGCTTATAGATGGGAAAGTGTCAAAAATGAAAAACTCGAGCGCTTATTTATCCATTCTTTCCTATCAGATATTTTTCTATGCACTTGACTCTGCATCTATTTACTGCTTTATCTAATCGTCTATTCGTGCGTAATGAACGCATTCATTCATCCGTCATATGCCATTCATCACTCATCTAACAACTATAAATATCTATTTATTTGTTGTGTGTATCCTTCTATCTTTGATATCTCTATTTGTTATCCATCCATCTTATCGAATTCCCGCTTACTGAATATTCATCCATCTTTCGTATATCCACTCACATAGGAATTTATCTCCATGCTCTTTAAACCATCATATATACATGGTGTGTGTGTGTGTCATACATATGATTAATTCACCAACTGGCCATTACATCGCATCACACCACACAACACATGGAAGCAAGCAAACGAGCAGAGATGCATGCATGCATGGCAAATCTCAATTGATGCTTTCTTATTCAGTTGTCTCCGTATCAGCAACACATAGACCGCGTGAACGCGCACGCACTACACAGCCAGTGGCGAAATTTAGTATTATAGGGGACACGACTGTCGTTTGTTGCTCCCTCCGCCGCTTCCATCGCTTCTTCATGCGTACATCTGCAGGTAATATATTTCATTATTAACGTTCTTATGCTTGTTCTTAAAATGTTGCACGTACGTTGTGTGTATGTATATTTGAAAGTATGTGTGTGTGTGCATGTTGTGTATATGCAGATTTGAATGTATGTTGTGTGTATGTGCGTGTTGTGTATGTATATCTGAATGTACGTGTGTGTGCGTTTTGTGTGTATGTATATTTGAACGTACATGTGTGAGTGTGTGTGCATATTAGATATGTTAGGTATGTGTATGTTATCTGTATGCAAAGTTTTGTTTCTGCTGTCGTGTGCAACGCATTTTTTGGTTTTTCTAATAGCCACGTCCGAAAAAGAAAAGAAACAAAATTATGAAAGTGTGAGTGAGAAAGAGAAAAGGAAAGAAAAGTTTTTTGAAATGAGAAAGAGAGGGGGGGGGGGGAATTAAAAATGGCTATCCAATCATGTAGCATATATTTCGAGCGAATCTTTTGTTCCTTTTCAGGTTTTATTGCTATCACCCTCGTTACACTTTCGCCATCATGAATGCTTGCAATTTTTATATATTCCATTTTACTGCCTAATAAAAATTGCCTAATTGTTCGATATTCGTATGAACAAATGCATTTTTATCACGCCCACAGTGACGTCATTAACGATAAAATGATAATAAAAAGATGCATCATCGCCATTATCATTACAACCTTTATTGGAACATCACCGTTACTTATAACTTCACCCTATCCGCGCCTTGCCTGCTGATTATGACTCCATACGACGAATCATTCATTATCATTCGTAGTTACGGTGACGTCATATTACCTCAAATGACGTCACATTCGTCGCCATTCTTACGGCGAGATTCGTTTGCGTCATTAAAGGTTCGAATATTTATTTACGCTAATTGTTCTGTCATTCGATACGAGACTGTTTGCTCGTTCCTCCGCGGTGCGCCTGTACATCTAGCAACATATCCATGAGTGCTGCTAATGACAACTTTTTCAACTGTATAATTGTCACCATGCCGTGTATGTTGTTGTAATTGTTGTTGTTGTTGTTTCATTTGTTGTTATCATTGTTGTTCTTTTGTTTTGTTGTTGTTTTTGTTGTGGTGGTTTTTGTTGCCTTTGTTGTTATCATCACTGAGATTGGTTGGTATTATTACCTCCGTTATTACTTTTAAAAAGATTATTGTTACATTTGTTCGTTATTTGCCTAATTTGTCGTTCAATTGATTTATAAAAATGTTTAAACTCTTTCCAAAAGTTTCCATTATCATCCTAAATTGTTGAAGTTATATTTCTTATCTATTACTTTCGTTAACACATGAACGATGTATTGGAAAGAAACAGTAGAAACTGTTACATAGTAGCTACTTGCAAATTACATAACATTTTTCCTTTCCAACTGCTCAGTTCAAAACTACTCAACAAAATATCCACCACCTAGCTGATCATGTCCGTTTCCAGTCAACCTACTAATCCCCCGCCACGTCCACAACATCCTTTCAAACATGCCGAAAGTCCTCGCTTACTGGTTGCAGTTTTTTTCGAACAGATCTTTCTTGTCTGAAACAAGGCTACCGTCAAATCTTTTAAAAGTTACAATACTAACTATCCTTCTAGAGCTTTCTGATATCTCATTTCCTAGTTTTTTACTAGCTCGTTAGGAACAATTCCATTCATGTTTGCATGCCCACATCGTTATCATCATTAACAACTACAACGTCATAAAAATCCCAAACTACAACATCATGTAAACTACAACTTTCTTGTAATCATCTTTTTCCCCATCTTTTGTTATCATTATTTCAGTTATTTGATAACTACCTCTATATCACATCATCATATTCTTCATCTTCATCATCATTATTCATCTTTATCACTATTATCAAAGTGTCATGTTCAGTATACAAGATAATACTAACATCATCACATTTAAAGTTATCACTACTTTGATAATGATGATTAAATTATACACTATGATTGATTAACTTTATCACTAGTGTCAATATAATCGAATTCAACACTGCCACTGTTGTTAGTGATACCTTCGTTTTGTTGTTATCAGGTTTCTGCTGTTGCTGACATCATTAATGTTATCATTACACCAACATCACTAATATTATCATTACACCAACATCACTAATATTATCATTACATTAACGTCATTAATGTCATCACTACGTTAACACAATTAATGCCAGCATCACATTAACGTCATTAATGTCTGCATTACGATGTTTGATGTTGTCGTAACTACCCCGGCCATCATCATCAATTACATCAGCAACATCATCGTTAGTGATGTCATCATTAATTACTCCGTTAATTACATCAATTACATCATCGGCGTTGTTATTACCATAATTACATGGACGTCTTTGATGTTATAATTTATCACGTCTTATATGATTACACCAACAACATCACCACTTGGTTATTTTCACGTTGCATTATCATTAATATCATCAGCCTACCTACTTCCCACACCGTGATGACATCACACGTCCTTTCATCATTGCCATAATCATCACGATGATACCACCACCACACGTCTTTTCATCATTATCATATCATAATCACAATAATATCATCACCACACGTTCTTTCACCATCATCATAATCACCACAATGATATTATCACCATCATCATCAGCAGCAGTAGCAACGCATATAACACCAGGCGGTTATCGTCATTGCGTTAAGTATCGGCGTATTTTCTGACGTTTGCCACTCGTTTCGCAGCGTAATGGCCGGTCCCTGGGGTTGCGTTTGCGTGAATGCAAAGCGCTACATCATGCAACTTGACGACTCTTCTTTTTTTTCTTTAGGTGGGGCGCGAAAATTCTTTTCCTTATCTATCTTTTTCTCTCTTTTTTATTTCTTTCCTCTCATAATTTCTTAACTTTCTTTTACGCTCTATTGTTTTATTCCCACTACTTTTACATCTCTCTCTCCCTCTCTTTTTCTTTTTCTCTATCTCTATCTATCTCTCTCTCCTTCTTTTTCTCACTTTTTCATATTTCTTTCTTTGTTTGATAAGGCAGACAATTAAGATAATCTTCGTGCTGTGAATGTTGTGACATGTGTGATGATGCCGAAGATGGTGATCACGTGATAATTTATTATGATGATGATGCCGATGACGATGATGATGGTGATAATAATAATAATAATAATAAATGATAATGATGATGGTTGTCTTGATGACAAATGTAAAAGTCCTATAGGCAATCATGTCATAAACTTATCACAGAGACAATCATTGGATCACATTTTTCACATTAATATTCATTCATCTTCAATACTCTTGATGATGAAATGCGCATACACACACAGAGACACACTCAC